TCAACATCCTGAATGTTACCATTGACTAGAAACTGAACTGGACTAGTCATATAAATACTGTAGCTACAAAAGCAAGCCAGAAACTAGGAATAAAAACTGAAAGAATTGCGGATGCTGTAAATCAGGGACAAAAATAGAAGTTGCTGGAAAAGCTCAGCAGGTCTGGCAGCATCCATGAAGAAAAAATTAGAGTTAATGTTTCGGGTTCAGTGTCCCTTCCTCGGAACGGCTAGGAATACTGCAGTGAGTAACCGACCTCCTGACTCCCCAAGGTCTAACCACCAACTACAAGGCACAAGTCAGGAGTGTGATGGAATACTATCCCTTACCTGGATGAGTGCAGTTCCAACAACACTCAAGCTTGACACCATCCAGGACAAAACTTTAATGGCACCACATCCACCATCTTAAACATTCACTCTCTTCACTGTCGCTTTGTTGCATCTACTGGGCACACTCTTCAAGCCTCCTTCATCAGAACCTTCCAAACCCAAACCTCTGGCACCTAAAATGACAAAGGTAGCAGATGCAAATTCCCCTCCAAGCCTCATGCATTCTGACTTGGAACATTATCACTGTTCCTTCACTGCACTTGGTTGTGCTGGTTCATGCTGGAACTCCTTTCGTAACAGTGCTATTGCTCTAAGAACAAAGAACAAATTGTTGTCCCTATGTCCCCTGGACTGCAGTGATTTAAGAGGACAGTACATAACCAGCTTCTAAGAGTATTTAAGGATCAGCAATAAATGCTGGCCCAGCCAGCAATGTCTCCCATTAAGGACTTTTTGCTTCATTCATCGAATGTGGGCAAAGGAAGGAACCCTTCCAACTGGGTCAACTACCAGAGGGTTCACCCATCCTTCTAATATATGATCCCTGACAAATATTGGCAAGCTACTGAACAGGTGGGGAAGAGCAAATGCTTTTGTGACCTTAGCTCCCCACACTGGTCAGTGCATTTATGTACCAAGCCGTTAGGAGATCCAAACAAAATAAATTTTGTAGCGCACAGCTGGATATAATTTCCAAATTGGAATTACATGGTTTCAAGAATACCTTCCTGATCAATCATCACAATCTGAGTGTTGTGGAAATACCACTCTTGCAGTGCTTCTCGAAGCACTGTTTCAAATTTTTTCCAGGTACTTTCTTTACTCAGAAGAATATTTCCATGTGGGTAAAGCTACAAAAGTAGGACTGCAATTTTAGCAAGACAGACACCAAAAAGAGCAGTTTACTATTTTGAACATCATTGTGCACAGTGATAATGCATGAATACTTAGCATTACCTTCCCCTTCACTAAAAAAAATTAAAAATACATTCGTCAATAACAATACAAGTGCAACTGTGAAAAGCATATTAATAAATCCCTGTCAATGTCCACATTTTATACCTAAACTGGTTTAATTTGGTGTCATGTTTGGCACAACATTGTGAGCCAAAGGGCCAGTTCCTGTGCTGTTCTATGTTCTATCAAGTTTAGTAGCTGGTTTACAAAGCTTTCCTGATTGGTTTGCAGGTTTTGGCGTGGAGTCAGACTTTTGTGTGTTTAGCATCAGATCACAAATCACAGAAGATCATGTGCCTTTCTCAAAAACTGGCACACGGCTCATTGAAGTCTGAACTGGTTCAAACCTGACAGGAGCTCTTGATCAAGTAGACCGTAGAACCAGAGTTTAATGAGTATGCAGATGAGCATCTGAATTAGGTTTTGATGCCATGTGTGACTTCAGTAGTCATGTGTTAGTGTTCGGAAGCTGGACCTGATACAGCAGTGAGTGTGCTTCCCTGTTGCCTTACCATCATGTGCAGTGTATTAATAAACATCATTTAACAGTAACCTAGAAGTCTGGCCTGAGTTTGTTTTATGACCTGGAAACTCACATTGTAACAAACTATTGCACAAAGTATGATCGTATGGAATAAATTAGCTGGCTGGCTGCCAGAAAATAGCGTGTGCAAAAATTGATCTGTTTCAGATGGGCAGCACGGGACAAGTGGATAGATGCAGGCAGTAATCTGTGTTGAATAGTAAACCTTTTACAATTTATACCAGTGACTTAGATGCAGGGATTGAAAGCATGGTGGCCAAATTTACAGATGCCATAAAGTTGATAGGAAAGTATGTTGTGAATATGATATACCAAGAACATGGATGATATATGAGTGAGCAATATTCTGGCAGATGGAGGATAACGTGGGTGACTAAGAAATTGTTCACTTTGACAGGAAGAATAAAAAAGCGGAGTATTACTTAAGTGGAGAGCACCTGCAAAAGTCCAAAGCTTGGAGGGATTGAGATATGCCAATGCATAAGTCATAAAAGGTTAGTAGGAAGGTACAGCACATAATCAGGAAGGTTAATGAGTTGCTTGTCTTTATTACAACAGGAATGGAACATAAATGCATGCACGTTATGCTTCAGTTATATAGGGCATTAAGTGAGTCCACATCTCAAATACATTGTAAAGTTTTGGTTTATTTAAGAAAGGAATGTAAATACATTGAAGGTAGTTCACAGGAGGTTTACTGGATTGATACCTGGCATAGATGGGTTGGCTTATGAGGAATAATTGGACTGCATTAGTTTACTTTAAACAAGTTCTGAAGAGTGATTTGATTGAAGTTCATAAGATTTTGAATGGTCTTGATAAGGTGGGCCTGGAAGGGATGTTTCCTCTTGTGATTGAGTCCAGAACTAGGGGGCACTGTTTTCGCATTGTGTGTTGCTGTTTAGAGTTGTGCGACTTTGGAACTTTCTGCCTCAGAAGGTGGGTGAGGTGGGGTTATTAAGGCAAAGCTAGATAGATTCTTGTTAGGCAAGAGAATCTAAGGTTATCTGGGGTAGATGGAAATGTGAAAATTGGAACAAATAAATCAGCAAACAGACCTCATTGAACGGTTGAGCAGGCTCACAGGGCTGCATGGTCTATTTTTGCTGCTAACTTATATGTTTGTATGTAAATATGCAAAATGCTATAATGCAGGATGTGCTCATAATAATAAGAGCAAAATGTTGGCAGATGTAATCAAATGTAGGAGCAGAAGTATGCCGTTCAGCTCATTGAATCTGCTCTGTCATTCACTAAGATGATGGCTGGTCTGGTAGTCCTCAACTCCACTTTCCCTCCTTTTCCCCATAACCCTTGATTCCCCTACTGATTAAAAATCTATTTCAGCCATCAATATTATTGACCCAGCCTCTACATCTCGCTGCTACAAACAAATCCACAGATTCACAACCCTTGAGAGAAGAAATTCCTCCTCATCTCTGTATTAAATGTGCAAGCTGTTATTCTGAGATTATGCCCTCTAATCCTTGACTCTACCATGAGAGGAAACATCTACCCTGTCAAGATCTCTAAGAATCTTGTTTATTTCAACAAGATCACCACTCAAACTTCTTTATTCCAACACCTAATCTACTCAAATTCTCCTCTTAAGACAATACTTCTTTATGTGGTATCAGTAAATTTTTTCTGGATTGCCTCCAATGCCAACGTAGCATTCCCCACATAAAAGGCCCACAGCTGTTGACAGTATTCCAGCTGTCGTCTGACTAGTGCCTTGTATAGTTTTAGCAAAGCCTCCCTACTTTTGTACTCAATTCTCTTTGAAATAAAGGCCAACATTCCATTTGTCTTCCCCTTTACCCATTGAACTTGCATACAAGCTTTTTGTGATTTATGTACAGGGACTCCCACATCAGAAAGAATTGGAAATGATCAACAGATTTGACAGCATTTGTGGAAAGACAAGCAGAGTTAATCTTTTGAGTCGAATATGACTCTTCAGATAGTTCTCATATTTTGGTCCTTTCCTTGCAAGGATTTTGTGATCTGCAGATATTTCTCACATTTCTGTCAAGTTCAAGAATCTTTTGGGTTCGACAATAGTTCCTTCTACAATAGTTCCCACTTGTGGGCAGGATTCAAAAAATGGAGGTGATGGTTTTGTCTATATCTTCACTCTTTTTTTCTTTGTACCACATTGACATTTTTTGACTGAACTATTTATGATCAACTTTAACATTCATGTTTAATGGAACCAGACTCAAAACATGCCTTTTCTTCATCAAAAGATTGGCCCTAAACCCCACCTCTTCCTCCGTTACATTGATGACTGTATCGGCGCCACCTCGTGCTCCCATGAGGAACTCGAACAGTTCATCCACTTCACTAACACCTTCCACCCCAACCTTAAGTTTACCTGGACCATCTCTAACACCTCTCTCCCCTTCCTGGACCTCTCTGTCTCCATATCGGGCAACCACCT